TATTGTTCTACATACCTGTAAGCAAAAAGAATAACAATTTGTAATAACAGTTTGCTCGCAAAGTAAAAATATATTAAACAAATTAAGGTTACCTACGCTATCACGAAGCTTATCAAAATATATTTAAGCCATTTAACATTGAACCTTATGGTTTAGATATGAATTATTAGTGAGGCCTTGACCAAAAGTCGGCCTAAAAAAATAAGGTTATATGAAATAAGGTAACCAAATTCGTTGTTATTTAACCTTTACGATTGAGTCTTATTTCTATTTAGATATTTTGAGGTTTTTATCAACATGGATACGCTAACCCTACAGTATCTTTTAAGTTTTAATTACATTAGCTTAAGTAACTATACTAATTCAATTGACAGACAATCATCAATTAGGTATATTTATATATTTACTTACTAACTTAACATTTGCTAACTTAGATATAGGACTCGCCAAAACTGTTTATACTAACCCAACATCTAGAAAATTAAGTTTAAACTATTCGATTAATGTTTATATTATAACTTTCGTGAGAAACACTAAAACCCGTTGCAGAGCTGAGTAGCCAGAAGCAGCATGACAGTCACCGCGTCGCGGGTCGCGGAATACTGCTCATGAATATAAGCCTCTAGCATGGCTTAAAACTAATCGAGTTCCTCGTCAAACATTTACGTGAGTAAGCCGAAAACATATTTAATAGTTAATTTTCCATTAGTGATTCTCTCTTAAATTTGTTTCTGACACATTCCATCAGCAAGTGATCTCTTCAATTTTGTTACAAATTAAACAATAAGGTGATGTTACTTTTACATTTGAGTCGAAATTGATATTTTCATTGACATTTAGAAGTTTCTTATGACTCCCTTTTTCACGGACGCTTACATACTAGTAATTATATACCCTAAACTTAAACAAAGCTGTACTCAAAATTCCGAATAGGTACTGATACCAAACCTGCACTTACACCATCAAAATACTCCGAAATCCTTATTCAAAACTATGAAATTAACCCTCGAAAATTACCAGCTATATCTCATGTACGTTCCATAAATCCGTCTGAGGCAGGTCTAATTCCTCAGCCAATAATTTCTTGAGAATTAATACCGTGTTTGTTTCGTGTTGTGTGTTGGGTCGGGAGTACCCCCAGCGGTTAGTTAGGGGTTAAGTCTTTGGAAACTGTATTTTGTTGGTTTAAACGTGTTTATTTGTTTGTAAGATGTGTGTTTATTTACTATGCTAATATTGAGGATTCTCAAATTAGTTTGGGGTTGATTTTAATAAAGAATTTAGTTTGATGTAAATTCTGCGTATTTAATAGGTATCGGAAAGTTCAGCGCTAGTGAACTATTAGAAAGACGAAACTTATAATTGGGATGATGACAGGGTATGAAAATTAAAAATCTAATTAGTCCGTAAGTTAGGTAATTAAAAAATATTAGACACGTATTTTTTTTATTTTGTCGTACCTATAATAAAACAATACTTAGATAAAACAAACCAAAGTTGTATAGACGTATAGTTTTCGGTCATTATCAGTTACAAGGCTTGTTTTAATTATTGTAACTAAAGTTTAGGAGTGGGGGCTAAAACGTCATTTCTACGTATCAAATGTACATAGAAGTGACGTCACGCTACTTCCTTGTTAGGATGTTTGTCCGTTAATCATGATGAAACCACTGAACGGCTTTTCATAAAATTTGGTATACAGGCAGAGTATAAATGCTGACTTGTGATAAAATACATCCAGATTAAACGCTCCAATGAGATAAAACAGGAATACGCGGGCAAAGCCGCAGGTAAAAGCTAGTTCAAAATAATCAAATGTTAGTTCTGTTTCTTGTAAAACAACAGAAAACTAAAGCGAAGCTAGTAAAAAGAGCTAGTATAACAATTGTTTCACGTGATCTGCAAACTCATATGATTTGTAAATTTCCACGCCCATCTCTTTATGTGCGCATAACATTGTTGAAAACATAATGCGTCAATGACTTTATCTAACCAAATCATTTCGACTGGACACACGTAAGATGGCGTTGTTTACAAGGAAATATCAAAATGTTTTATAATATCATAGATAAGTTATTTAATATCACAAATCACAGTTGACTATACTAAAAAAATAATATTATTTTGTTTGTTTGTTTGAACGCAGTCTCCGAAACTGCTGGTTCGAAATTGAAAATTCTTTTTGTGTTTGATAGTTCATTTATCGAGGAAGGCTGTTGACTATACAACATCACGTTACAATCATCACTCAGCGAGAGAAACCGTGCCAGTAACTAGTATGTAGATAAGTTTCAATATGAACAATCACGGCTATGTCAAATAAATCAGTATATATTGTATTTTCCTGTTTTTTATCTAATCTATGACAGAACTAGACACGTGTCACCTGCCAGTAACTTAATGATTTGAGATCAAGGTCCTTCTGATAACACCACACCTCTCTAGTTTCTCGTGTCGGTAAAGGTGACCTCTTTCTCATACATCTATACCTACTTTCGTGCAGTTTCACCCTCTCTGCTCCGCTCCTATTTATCATAGTCCGATGTTTTATAGCCTCTAGCCTTCTTCGATGAATGGACTATCCAACACAGGAAGAATTTTTCAAATCGGACCAGTAGTTCCTGAGATTAGCGCGTTCCAACAAAGAGACAAACAAACACACAAACTCTTCAGCTTTATATAATAATAGCTTTTACCCGTGACTTCGTACGTGCAATCCAGTAAAAAGGGAAAAAGTATTAGATAAAATGTATCATGTGTCCGTCTCCTAGTCCTAAGCTAACTTACCAATTTTCATCTAAATCAATTAAGCCGTTTTTGAGTTAGAAATTGTGTAACATGACTTTTTATAGATGTAGTATAACATGCATTTTTTTTAAGGGGGGAAAATCATCGAATGACTGCTCCCGCCTGGGTGAGGCGGAAGGGAGTATCAGACTCTTACTGACTAAAAACCACCCCGTTCCTTCTCCTGCACGTCGAGCCGGAGCCCCGGTTCCCCGTTAGGTTCTCCGCGACAGTATAACATGCATACCAAACTTGTTCTGCATCGTATACATTATGTTATATTTTTAAGAAAATAGAAAAGTTTCATACACATTTCAGAACTATTAAGCTAAACTAACTCAAAATTATAGTAGGTATATCACAGCCATTAACAGTCCATGGCAGAAATAACTAAAAATAACGATTTTCTCACGTAAAGAAACAAGCTCAACTAGTTTCGAATCAAAGCTGTCGTATAGATGTCGCGCAGCCTACTGCGAGCGAGTAACACGAGAAACTCACAATTTTTAGTCAATTTAGCATGGCTCACGATAGTAATTATAAAAACACAGATCATGGCAGGTCACACAATTTGCAGGACTACGGATCTCCTTTACATAAGACGGGTTTACCTAAATCCCTACACTAAGCAAGCAGGTTTGGTCAAAAATTATGGTAACTTCCATCAAAACTGCCATAAAACGAACTGTTTTAATTCACTCGATAAAATTTCACGGGAATCTTAACAGACCGATTTTTATGATGTCACCTACTGTGTTATGTTAGCCGGATAAATCGAATCGCATGCCGGAATTTACGACTACCCGTTAAATTTGATACCTCGCACTTTTGGTCGCGTTTTACTGTTTATCATAAATGAGGGAATTTAATTAAGATGGTACTCAGGAATAGCAGTAACATAAGCTAAAACCACAAATGGTTTAATTGTACCATGGTATCTTGTCAGATCTATTTGTTAAACTAATGTTAGTGATAAGGTTTTAAGAAATTTCAAGAGCATAAGTGGCCACTGCTGACTAAAGAAGACAGAGAACTTGTGCGTACTGCTAAGTAGTGGAATTCTTTGAAGGGTATTAACCTGGGTGTCTTAAAGGTCCGAGTGAATAGGTTGCTTATGGGACAACGTGTGCTCCATCGTAGACCGCATCATCGCTTACCACTGGGTGAGATAGTGGTCAAACGTCGGCCCATCCAATATATAAAAGGTTTGAGCATAAATCACCACGCTTGGTCAACGCGGGTTGGCAATTTCAAAATTATAATTAGAAATTGTAAACTCAGGTTTCCTCACGATGTCCATTTGTCAGTGGTGTCTAAATAATCTTAGAAAGTATTTTTAACTCAGAAAAATGATATTGGTACTTGCTGCTGGTAGGTTTCGAACACACACCCTCATGCATGAGAAGCGAGCGACTTAGACCTCTGAGCCACCATGAAATAGGACAAAAATATTATAACTCATCTAAATATTACGAAGAAAATAGATACTAATCTATGGTGCCTATAACGTAATAGACAACGAAGATTTTCAAGTAGCCCTACTTTTCATTTTCTCTTGAGATGTTCTTATCCTATCACCATAATATCTTGGCATATAGACAAACAATCAGATAGAGGCATCAATGATAATCGTTTCACGTAAGAGTGGCGCTATGACGTAAATACTATCCGTGATTTATTTATCTAACTTTACCCTTAAAACAATAGATAGGTATTACGCAAAAGAATCTTCATGGTCATTTACTGACTCATCATCAACCAATTTTTTTTTTCGATTTAATTCACAGGCTACTTTACATATCAAGTGCACTATCGATTCTTGATAAACGATACGCCACCTATTCATGGGTATTATGTAAAGCGATTATTTGTAAAAATAACTTCGTAAAATACCCATCGTAAATAATACGTGACAAACTATCTAAAAGTAAACTCACAATTAGTAGATAATTTACGTCAAAGAACTTTCGCTAATACCTTTATTATTGTTTTGATTAGAAATAAAGATGTCCATTGACACAATAAATCTGATAAATTATTTGAAGCATTTATCTCATGTCGATGATGTGGCAAGATTGACGCAGGTACAGAGACAATCAATGCTGTTATCATTGTTGACATGACCAATGCAGATAGTCATCTTTAGTTAAATTGTTTGGTTCTCGATTATGGTCTTAGTTAGTTCTGGACTGCGGTGACAGCAACACTAAATCATGACTGTCCTAAACCAAGACGCAGTGAACAAAGCAACTTTAAGAAAAACAAGACAGTGTCTTCAAAAAACATGCACTGTAGAAACATTAAAGAAAAGGATCCCAATTATAGATTGGCTCCCAAAATATAAGACTGAATATTTCATTCAAGATGTGATAGCTGGTATAACAGTGGCACTAACAGCTATACCTCAAGGAATTGCTTATGCAGTCATTGCAGGACTACCTCCGGAATACGGACTGTATGCATCATTAACAGCTGGATTGGTGTATGTCTTCTTTGGAAGCTGCCACAATGTCACCGTGGGTCCTACTGCTATTGTTGCCACAATGACAGGTAAATATGTGGCTGATTACTCAGCTGACTTCGCCGTGCTAACTGCCTTCCTATCAGGAATCTTCATATTTGTCATGGGGATCCTCAACCTCGGTTTCCTCGTCGAATTCATATCAATGCCCGTGATTAGTGGCTTTACGACCGCTGCAGCCCTTCAGATTGCGGCTTCACAATTGAAAGCATACTTTGGATTGAATGGAACATCAGGGAGCTACTTTTTGGAGTCAATTCAGAATTTCGTCACACATATAAATTCAGCAAAACTTTGGGAAGCGGTGCTCAGTTCAGCAACTGTGATCATGTTGGTATTGCTAAAGAAAATGGGCCATGGATGCAAGAGAACTGATGGATTTGTGAAACAGATGAGATGGTTTTTATCATTATCAAGAAACGCTATAGTCGTGATTATTGGAATGATTATTGCCTACATTCTGAAAGTGACCCTTCACACGGAACCTGTACTATTAATTGGTGACATTGGAAGTGGCCTCCCGAAATTCGGCGTACCACCATTCAGCACAGTAGTTGGTAACCAAACATACAATTTCCGCGAAATGGTTGAAGTTCTAGGAGTACAGTCTGCAGTAATTCCAGTGATTGCTATTTTAGAGACTATTGCTATCGCCAAAGCCTTTGCTGTGGGTGGTAGGATTGATGCGACACAAGAAATGATTGCTGTTGGACTTTGTAACATCTTCGGATCTTTTGGACAGAGTATGCCCATCACGGGTTCATTTACAAGAACAGCCCTGAACCATGTCTCTGGTGTGAAGACGCCTGCTGGTGGTCTGACGAACGTTTTAATTCTCTTTGTGGCTCTGACTAGTTTAACTTCAGCGTTCTATTACATACCAAAGGCGTCACTAGCTGGCCTCATCATAACTGCTATGTTCTTCATGATTGACTACGAAATGTTTGGAAGATTATGGAGGAATGGTATGAAGGACTTTGTTTTGATGTTAGTAACAATGCTGATCAGTTTGTTCGTTGGTTTGGAATATGGCATCATTGCTGGAATTGTTCTTGAAGCTCTCTCATTATTGTATTATGTTGCTAGACCTAGTTTAGAAGTAAATAGAATGCAGTATGAAAAAGGGGATGTTATGGTTTTGACTCTATGCGAGAATATGAGTTACTGTGCTGCAGAGCATTTACGTAAGAAGATAATGGATACATCTGCCATCAGTAATAACATTCCTATCATAATCGATGGTACTAGTCTAAGAAGAGTAGATTACACAGTAACATACAACTTAATGTCTATTATAAAAGATTTGGATGAAACTCATCACATTTTACTTATGAATTTCAGTGTGGAATTAAAGAAACTATGTTTGAACATTGATTTAGGATTAGAATCAAAGTTTGTTTATGCGGCAAGTCCTAAAGAATTGACTGAAGCATTGCCAAAAGAAGTTTGACGATACAAAATGTTAATAATTTATTAGGTAGGTAAAGTTATCAAACTCAATGAAAGTGTCACGGCTGTGAAGTGATGCCTAGTGGGTGGCTGTTTTTAGATCAGTTCTTTTTATTAGTAATGGGTCGGCCTTTGGCCACCATATCGCCTGGTGGTAAGCGAAGATGTGGCCAATGATGAAGCACGCCTACCTATGAGCAACCTATTCACTCGAGACTTAAAGACACCCAGGCTTTACCCTTTAGAAAATACCGTAGTTCTGAAAAGAACTTAACTATTTGTGAAAATGAATCTATTATAGTTTTCATATGCACTAAATTTGTCTGGATTAATATTTCTAGGGAAGTTTGATAAAAAAATGTATTTGAGTGTTTAGAAATTGATAAGATAAGATTAAATTTTTGCATCTTGGATAAGATAGTGAAGTTGAGATGTGTCTATTTTATTGACAATATTGTTATTGTTTTAGAGGTCAAATTAAATTGGGTATTGACTGATAGATACTCATATAATTGTAATAAAGTAGATATAGATAAATTAAGCTCACTTAATATTATATTATTTTTAGGTTACGCAACATTTTGATAATAAGATTGTTGTTTTATAAAATGCATGAAAAAATAGATTTTTTGTATGTTGTAATATTTTTAGATCAGTGTAAATATAATTAATTATTTATCTATGTAAGGCTGAACTAAATTTAAGATAAATGTAAATAATAAATTAGTGTTTGTTGTAACACTTAAATTTTTTGTTTTACTTTACGATCTCATTGCAACTTTTGTTATGAATTATGCAACAAGTGAGAAAATATAATCAAACCTCAAAAAACCCGAAAAAAAAACATAATTAATCACACCCAGATCGATAGGATCAACATTAGAATATATAAAAAAAAAACTAGTTTAAACCGAATTTAGATTGTAAGATAAAAGATAACAGAATCATGTGGCCTTTGATACCACACAGATGAAAGGTAGTACAGAAGCTGATAGGGAAACTACAAAATATATTGTAATCATTACAAGTCTAGATAATAATCTTACTTCAGATAAAAGTCTCCATCTTCATTTTAGCCTTAGTAACATAGGAACTGCAGTGTAACAAACACGTTTCAACATGACTGTTATAAACCCAGAAGAGCCCAAAAATGTGTTTCGAAGAAAAGCTAAGAAATGGGTTCGAAAGACTTGCAGCGTAGAAGTGGTGAAGAAGAGACTGCCAATCATTTCATGGCTCCCGAAATACAAATCTGAATACTTCATCCAGGATGTCATAGCTGGTATTACTGTTGGATTGACTGCTATACCTCAAGGAATTGCTTACGCAGTCATAGCTGGATTGTCACCTGAATATGGACTTTATGCATCTTTGACATCTGGAGTGATTTATGTGATCTTTGGCAGTTGCTACAATGTCACCGTGGGCCCTACTGCTATACTCGCTGCCATGACAGCGAAATATGTAGTGGATTACTCAGCAGACTTTGCCATTCTCACTGCTTTCTTGTCGGGAGTTTTCATGTTCATCATGGGTATCCTCAACCTCGGTTTCCTCGTCGAGTTCATTTCAATGCCAGTGATCAGTGGATTCACAACTGCAGCAGCTCTACAAATAGCTGCTGCTCAGTTAAAATCTTTCTTCGGTTTGAATGGGTCATCAGGAAATTATTTTGCAGAATCAGTCATTAATTTTGTCACTAATATTGGAACAGTCCAACTATGGGAAACAGTCCTCAGTTCTGCGACTATAGTGATGTTGATATTATTGAAGAAAATGGGACAAGGATGTAAAAGAACTGATGGATTTTTTAAACAGATGAGATGGTTCATATCTCTGTCAAGGAACGCTGTGGTCGTGGTTATAGGCATGATTATTGCATACTACATTCACGTGACGCTTGAAAGAGACGCTCTCGCAATAATTGGTGATATTGGAAGCGGACTACCAAAGTTCGGTTTACCTCCATTCAGTACTGTGGTTGGTGAGCAAAGTTACAATTTCATAGAAATGGTTAAAGTTTTAGGAGTACAATCTATTGTGATACCATTTGTAGCAATTTTAGAAACAATTGCCATTGCCAAGGCTTTTGCAGAAGGTGGTAGAATTGATGCCACACAAGAAATGATTGCCGTTGGACTTTGCAATATTATTGGATCATTTGGGCAGAGTATGCCCATTACTGGTTCATTCACAAGGACGGCCCTTAATCATGTATCTGGTGTCAAAACTCCTGCTGGTGGAGTCACTAAAGTTCTGCTTCTTTTTGTAGCTTTAACATTCCTGACTTCAACATTTTATTATATACCCAAAGCTTCACTAGCAGGTCTCATCATAACAGCCATGTTTTCAATGATTGACTACCAAATGTTTGGAAACTTATGGAGAAATAGTATCAAAGAGTTCATGCTGATGTTAAAGACTATGAGCATTTGTCTGTTTTATGGCTTGGAATATGGAATAATAGCTGGAATATTAATTGAAGCTTGTTTGTTATTGTATAACGTCGCAAGGCCTACGGTAGAAGTAAATGTACAGAAAAGTGAAAAAGGAGACCTTATGGTTGTGACCCTGAGTGAAAATGTAAGTTACTGTGCTGCTGAACATTTACGTCAAAGGATAATGAAAGGAACTTCCCATGATAATTCTCATGTACCAATTATAGTAGATGGTGGTAATCTAAAGAAGCTTGACTACACGGCTGCATACAACCTAATGGCTATCATCAAAGATTTGGACAAAACTCATCAAATTCTGCTACTGAATTTCAATCCAGAATTAAAGAAATTATGTTTGTCCATGGAAACTAGATTTGAATCGAAGTTCTTGTACGCAGCAGGTCCTCAAGAACTAACTGACATATTCCCGAAAGATGTTTGAGAATAATTAATACTCATAATATTGGATATCGTTATTAATATGTAAATGATTGTGAGATGTTCAAGACCGATAAAGCGAAGCGGTGAAATTATTGTAAGACCAAGAATATCGATGGACATAAAAAATGTGTATATTCTGAAATTGGAGATGGTCACGAATACAAGAGACATCAAAGATATGACTATTAGAATTAAACTAACCGATTTAAAGAGCCAAATATTGAAACCTATACATTTTCTTATTTATCCACACCTTTATAATTTGAAGATTATAATCGTCGTTGGATAAATATAGAAGCAAAACTAGGAAGCCTGATAATGTTCTAAAATTTCTGGTCATATGAAAATTTTGTGATTTGATAAGATAGTTCTACATATATTGAAGTGTGTTATCGTATTAAGTAGTTTGATTGGACAGACAGTTATATCCTCGAGTGCACGCTGTGTGATGTCACTTAAGGCGGGTTTTTGCTTGTCATAGTTGTATTTTATTATGTGTATTTGTTTATTTCTTGATGCTTAAGAAGTATATTTATATGAGGAAGGATACTGACATTTTTCTTTTATTTCACCTTTTGAGTTCTAATGAAGAAATAAAGCTATTTAGCAGGAAGAAAATAAACTAGAATTACCCTAAAGTTTGTCTCTAGATTGTAATTCTACTAACATTTTGTTTAAAAAGACAGCTCCGTACGAATTTCCTTGTATCATTACGTGTTTTTTTCTGGGATAAGCCGGTATACGAGCAGACGGATAACCTGATGGTAAGCAATCAGCACCGCCCAAGGACACCCGAAACACCAAAGGCGTTACAAGTGCACTCTTCAAATATCTAATCATTTTTTTTGGATATTGACAGCCCCGTTAAGTACTTACTAAAAATACACTGATATCGGTTTATTTTTGGGTATAGGCTTTCATTTTATCTGGCTAGTCATGCAAACTTGACTATCTTGAATTCAGCTTAGGATTCTGACAAGATAGGCCTAGGTATTAATGTTAAACTTCGTTTAGTTCAGTTTTGATAGAATCATGCTGAAATTATTTTTAGTTTAAGATAGTCTGAATTGAAGATAGAAGATAATCTGCAGTGTATGATAATGACCTACCCGGTCATTACTTTAAGTAATTATCGATTTTGAAACACATCTTACTTACTCGACTTCCATTTATACTCGATTCATCATGCAGTAATTTTAAAGTTTTAAAACAATATCAAACACCATTTGAAATCTATACAGATATTTTTTTTAAAAGAAAGCGGTGCCTCACACTAGGATTATCTCCTGTGTCGTGGGTGGGTTTACAAACATACAAGTTCACATACACATGACACAAACATACAAGTTCACATACACATGACACTCAGATCCGAAACAACAATTTGTGGATCACACAAAGTGCGGAAATCGAACTCGCGACACGTTGCACGGCAGCCAGTTGTCCAGCCACCGCACCAACTGTGCAGTTAAATTTGAGTGTCTGTTTATAATATTATAATAACCGTATTTTCTACATGCATATGAATATACGTACGATACACATACCAAAATAACATTTTAATAATTTTTGTGTGTCTGTTTGTTTGTACTGGCCAATTTCTGGAATGGCTGGACCGATTTTCCAAGTCTTTTATTGGTAGGTAGCTAATGTATTAAGGACTAACATAGGCTACTTTTATTTTGGAAATTTGAAAATAAAATCATATTCTCAAATTCATATTCTATGCAGACGAAGCTGAAGTCGAAGTAGCGGCAACGGCGAGAATTTATTATATTACTGAAATAAATGCAACATCTAAAACCTTCACCTCTATTGTACTCATATTTTTGACGTTCATTTTAAAACAATATTAGGTTCCCTATCTAAATACATGCACCCTCATACAATTAAATTACTAAAACACAAGTTCATAAAGATGAAAGTCCCTTGAAATTCAATATAATAAGTACTAGCTTTATGGAATATGCTACGTTGTATTAAATTTGTTATTTTGGATGAGAACCAACGTACAGTATGAATATGAGTTCAGTTTTATTCAATAGTAAGTACAGGCGACGACATAATATTATGTTGAAATGAAATGAAATGAAAAATTGTTTTATTCGACATACGGCATGAATGCCAGGAACGAAAAAAATAGAATATACACTTTGACAAAATAACAATTTTTTTTTTTTAATTTTCAGCCATGATCGTCCCACTGCAGGGCAAAGGCCTCCCTACCCACCTTCCACTCCTCTCTATGTAAAGCTTTTTGCGGCCAATCCTTGTCATAGATGTCTAATTCGTCCCGCCATCTCCTTTTGGGCCTGCCGCGACGTCTACTGACGTTGAGTGGGCTCCACTTAGTAGTAAGTTTTGCCCACTGCTCGTCTGACATGCGGCAGACATGACCAGCCCAGTTCCACTTCAAGCCTGCGGCTTTATGGCCAACGTCAACGATTTTTGTTGTGGAGCGCAGCGTGGTGTTCCTACCCTACCCAAAATAACAATATAAATGTTTAAAACAAGAGAGAGAGAGAGAGAGAGAGAGAAGAGGATAAAAAGATAAATTATAAAACTAAAACAAGGTAACATAAAAGTAGATGTAACTGTTGATGCTGTATGTTTATTTTCGTGTAATGAATGCTGACAATATTGCGTATAAGACTTATATATCTTTTCTAAAGTAGGTCCATTTATGTTGATTTCAAAATTCATTGATACATATCATATAGTAAGTTTTCTTGAAAATATAATATGACACTGTAAAATACCATTTCAGGTACTTTTTTCGGAACGATAAAATAATTCAATAATTTTTTTTTCTGTCGCGATGGAAATCCTCATGGACTTCCCACGTAGTGGGGACGACGACGAGGGGGGGGGCCTGCCGGGCTCTTATCAGCTAAAACCACTGCGGTGTTCCTTCACTGCCTATGACCGTGACCCGGGTTGCCCTTACGGAATCACCACGCCGGGCAGGCCTCGACCTACCGCTATGTTTACGGCAGGTTAGCGGCCCTAGGAAGCTGCTTCTCTTCTTCGAGTAGCGCGTGTGGAACACTACGGTAACACCTACTCCCGCCTATATAAAATAATTCAACCCTACCAGACCCTACTAGACTTGTATAAGTACAAGACCACAATGTTGACGTGTAGTACTAAAATAAATACTTTATTTAAATTTGTCAGTTTTCTTTAATCTCCGAAGTTTAAAGACAGACACCCAAATCAAACAAATCATATTCCATCATAAAACTTTCACAAAAATTCTCCAAAGTCGTGTCTTCAAGACCAATCCATTTATTTTATTGACTGTACCAGCAGTGTAGCCTTGACTTTGCCAAAAATCAGTGTCTAGACAAGAGAACGACTTTAAAGTATAAATTATTTAAATTATATGAATATTAAGCGAAGATAGGAACGTGTTTTGTATGTAAAATGATTTATTGTAAGGATGCAGTTTCGCTTCGATGAATATTTTAAACTTCGTACTTACTGTACGGGGTATCTTCCATCTCTATGTATATTTGCATTTTAAAAAGAAAATTTTGATTATGTAATAAAAATCTTAGAGTTTTAATAGTTAAGTTTTAGTAACTTTCTTTAGAATCTAAATCCCAATAAAATGGCAATGCACTTTGTAACTCCCGTGGTTTTGCAGTTATCCATGGGTGCACCATCTAGGTTATTCTATAACTATCAATTCGAGTTTACGACGTGAGCTCGATCGCGTTCTCGTCCGTCATTGGTCTTGATTATTCTCACACTGCTATCGAGTTCATTTCGATCTTTACAATTATAAAGTTACAGGCTGCTGACCAGGTGACCCGTCTGCTCATTTGCCGCTGTATCCTACAAATAAATCTCTTTAAGTACCATAGTAGCTCATCAACCACATAAACTAAAAAACCTTAAAACATCTCAAAACTAAAATAAAAAAAAACTAAATAACCTCAGAAACGATTTCCACATTCACACTAACTCAAACACTATTTCAATTTCCAATTCCACAAAAACATTCACTTTGACGCGGTCAAAGTGACGTCAAGCGGCCGGGTATGACGCGTCAAACAGGGTACAAGTATGACGACTGAACAAAAGGGCGGCGGCTGCAAGCTTGTTTATCAGTGACGTGTCAGTCAATGTATCCTGAGTGAGATCGTGATATAGCCGACTGTACCGGTGTGTGAAAAGTGAGATTTCGTTTTGGTTCGATATGTATGTATTTGTGTTTGGTCTGGAGTATGATTGGGTGGTATTTGTTATGCTTTATATGACAATTTACGATAAAAAACCTTGCCATTTACTTACATTTTTATGTACCTAAGGATGTTGTTAGATAATTACCTAATGATCGAGGACTTAAGCAAGTTCAGTTACGATTATTATTACACCAATTAAGCAAAATTGTATTAACTTTGTAAAACGCAATTTATTATAATAATAATGTACTTATTCTTAGAAGAGTAGGGAGGCCTGTAGTGCGACGACCATAGCAAAAAACTTAACTTATTAGAAGTCCTACGCCATTTTCCCGAAGGATAAGAAAAAACAGTGATATTATGTGTAATACACATTTTAATTTTTGGAAACTCGATAAACACACATTATCAAAGAAACAATTTATTTAAGAAATCTTTGATAAACATCATAAAACAATAACGGCGCGGTATTCCAAAATGCTGGCACGTTATAATGACACCCACACCGACATCTCGGCGCCTCGCCTGGGGTTCAAACGAAAGGTCCCGTGACATTTTCCTTTACATACATAAGTACGTATAGGAGGAATGTTTGTGAAACTGGCGTAATATTGGGTGTACTGTGAACTATGTATGTATATGTTGTTTAAAGAATATATCTTACAATATAATACGGTATATGACAGTTAGTCAAATTCAATACTTTTATTGAAATGTCAAAAACGATACATTTCTATGAATTTTGTATTGGATCGCAACCTGTGACGTCATCATATTTCTCCATCAAACCGCATACTTATTTCCTTAAAAT